CGCAGAGGCAGGCGCAAGCCGACATGGACGAGAGGGCGCGGCGCTTCAACGAATGGATCGCTGCGCAGGCGGCCAGCAGTGGCGGGGCCTTGCATGCCGTGTCCAAGCTGCCCTTGGGGTTCCACGAGAGCCCGCGCGAGCATCTGGACGAGGGCGCCAACAAGACTGCCCGCCCTCGTCTTTTCGAGCCCGTGGGCCCCGGCCGGGAGCCGCAGGCGCCCGAGGCCGAGTGGCGGCGCTGGTGGCGAACGTCCTTCGATCGTGCGGCGCTGCGTTGGCCGCCGCTACTCGGCGAGCGGCCACCGCGGGCGACGGCTCCGGACCTGCGGAGGGTGCCGAGGACGTTTAAGGCAGGCCCTGGCGCGTCGTTCTGCGTCGCGAGGCCGAGGCAGCCCGACGAGCTCTCTTGACGTGCTGGCGGCCGTGGAGCGCGATGCCCGGTGGCCCGAGGTCGCCGCGCAGGTCAGAGGCTCCCGGAGAGGCGCCTGGGCCGTGTCCGTCCGACCGTGATCACCGTGGTGCTGGCGCGAATGCAGAGGGCGCCTGCGGCGAGTGGGAGGAACGGAACGACAGGCCATACTGTTGTGGATGCCGTGACAATGGACACTCTAACAATCCGATCATTGAATTGAACATGTGTTTAAAATGTGTAAAGCATGTTCTGACAATGTTTCAAACATGTTTCAAGTATATTCAAACCATGTTTGAAACATTTTTCAGACATCTGGAAATTGTTTTGCAGCATGCTTCCTCTCCATTAATCGACTTCCACAACCATGCTGGTGGGCGTCAGCTGGGAGGAGCTGCGAGCGGGCGGTGCGGCACGAGGCAGCCATGGGAGAGCGGGCCACGGCGAAGGGGGAGAGCTCCGGCGACGAGACAGCGTGAGCGGCGGCGGCCATCCTGCTGGGCCTGCTCAAGACCTTCGAGCAGGTGCGGCACCACTGGCTTCCGGAGGCTGCGATCCGGACGGGCTTCCTGCTCTGTCAGCTGAAGTTGCAGACCGAGCTGTACATCGAGCCGCGAATTTTGTGCTTAGGCCGTGCCGTATCGGACCCCACTGTGGCGCTGCAGACCATCCTGCCTGGCGGCGGCTTCGCCAAGTGCTTCCTGAAGATGATGCTGATCGAGCCCCTCGACCGCATGCCGCGGATACATCCGACCATGTCGCTGGCGGTGGTGGTGGACGACCTCATGCTGCACAGGGTCGGGGGCATGGCGAGAGTGACTTGTAAGACGGCCAACGCGGCGTTCAGGCTGGAAGGGTTTTCTGGAGGACATCGACCTCAGCATTGCAATGACAAAATCGCGGACGCTCTCGAATCTTTCCGCCGCTCGAACGCCTCCTTCGACGGCCGCTTGGAGTCCAGGCGGTGCGTGGCGAGCGAAACCTTGGTATCGACTACTCGTGCGGCAAGCGCATTGTGAGGAAAGTCCGGCGTGAGAAGATGGTCCACGCCGGGCTCTGGATTCGGCGCGTCTGCATGCTGAAGGCAGGCGTTGGTCGGAAGGCGACCGTTCGCAAGGTCGCGCGGGCTGGGCTGGAGGCGAGCGTGTCGCAAGGCTTCGTGGTCGCGGGCTGCGCGACGGGCGAGCTCGACAAGGCCCGCTCCGTCGTCTTCCCCGCGGTTGCGTCCAGCGTCGCCTGGAGGTGGCGCACGCCCACCCTGATGCTGAAGAGCATGCTGGCCACGCTCCTGCCCGTCATGGCGCTGCTGCGCGTGGTGTGGGGCTGCTGGATCCCGCGCCACCACCATCGAGCACGGCGTGGTGCATCGTCAGGCCGAGGCTTGGGCTCAGGCGCGCGGGCCCTTCTCGGCAGCGAGGCGCTCCCTGCAGAGGGCCGGGTGGGCGATCGCGCTGATGCTGCGAGGTGGCGCACGCACGAGGGCTTCGGGCTGCGGGTGTTCGACATCTCGCCCCGGGCCGCGAAGCGCTCGCTCTGGCGCGCCGTGGAGGCGTGGCAGTGGCAGCAGGTCGCGGGGCGTCCTGCGCTCGGCCGATTGGCGGCGGGAGGCGTGCTGGAGCCGCTCAGGCGCGTGACCGCGAGCGGCGCCGCCTGCCGCAAGGGCGCAGCTCGTCGACATGTGCAAGCCGACCACAGCGCCAACGATCCCATGATGGCCAATCTAATCTGGTCCGTTTGGGTCATCTCGGTGTACCGGCCTGCGGCGGTGGACAAACCTCCCATGGAAAGACCTCCCATCCGTGAAAACGGCCTGGGGCCGAAACCGACGGACCTGGACCCGCAAAAATGACGGCCGCGGCGCCCCATCGCGAACCGAACAAGGCCAATTTCTTCATCGACGTGTCAGGGTAGGAGGTCTGTCCACCCCCGAGGCCTATCCGCCGTCGCATCGGCCACGCGGCCGGGACAGGCACCGGCTGGTGGCAGCACCGCCCACGGCTGCGGCCCTGACAGCCGAGGCGAGGTGGCAGGAGCGCCAGCACGGCGTCGCGACGACGAGGCTGCAGCGGGCACCGTGGCACGGCTCACGGCCCGGGAGCGCGGCGGCTTGACCTCTGTTGTGGTGGACGCGCTTCGGCGTCGCGCGGACCTTCCTAAGTTAAAAAATGGCCAGCACCTCAAGGGCTTCACACGCCACCACGGTCGAGTGCCGTCTGCTGGCACGGGCGCCATGGCAGCGCGCTGCCAGCCGGAGACCTTCTGCTCGACGGATCCGCGTTCGATGGCGAGCACCCGAGGTTAGAGACCGATAGCGAGGACGTCGTCTGCAGCATCTCGGGCATGATGGACGAGGCAGTCATGGACATCAACGGAGGCGAGCCATCGGCCCTGATCGGGGTGCTGCGCCATGCGTCGCCGCCTGTCACGGCCGTGGCGGACTCGAAGTTCGTCTGGGTCTGGCTCACGGAGCATGGGCGCGCGTGGACCACCACGTACGCCTACGCGTGGTCCCACCTGTGGCGTGAGGTCTGGCGGTTGCTGGACGAGTTCGGGGGGCTCTCTCCCGCGGGCTCGCAGATACGCTGGGTCAAGGCCCACTGCACTCGCAAGCAGGTGCTGCAGGGGCAATCACACACAGGGACTGGTACGACAACAAGCTCGCTGATGGTGCTGCCAAGTCTGCCGCGGCGTACGCGCGACTCGGCCCTGAGGAGCGACAACGGCTGCATTGCGCGGATAAGCTCGTGGAGGGCGTGGCCATGTGGATCTCAGCTATCGTCTCGGCGGTCGAAGGAACGGACACCACACATGGGAAGGTGAAGCCCAACAAGCCTGCGCCGCGAGCGGATTCTGCACTGGCCGCGCCGACCCTGGAGTGCGATTAGCCCGGGCAGGCGGGGGCGAGATGGTGCGCTCGTTGCCGCTGGAAGGCGCGCAAGTCCGAGCGCCCTGGCAGCATCGTCGCCGCTGCCCTCGATGTAAACCGGGAGCTACGCCAGGGCTGGGCGTAAACGGTGTTTTCGTTTTCGTTTCGTTTTCGTTTTCCCTCGGTTTGTCTTCAGTCCGCCTTTCCCGCAAAACGACATCGAAACGCAAACGGCCCCGGAAATCGCAAAAACACCGTTCAGGTCCAGCCCTGAGCTACGCCATGCACACCGCGGCACCATCGGCTGGTGGAGTTGAGGGCGCTGCGCGGGGAGGCGCTGGCGAGGGCCGCGCTGATCGCCGTCTGCCTGGCGTGCGGCGCGTTGGGCATGCAGAGAGCCACGGGCTCCGCCAGGCCCTGCGGCCGCCCGAGCGCACAGGGCGCCCGCCATCTCCATGTAGGGAAACGAACTCTATACACCGACGCTTTCCCCGACCCTGCGCTGGGATTCGCACAGGAGCGCGGATTCAGGTGTATACGGGATCCCGGTGCATACACGTTTCGTCGCTTCCCCTGGGGAAACGGGGGAGCAGTGTACACCACACCACCCCGACGTCGTCCCTGACCCTCAAAAGGTCGTGGGATTGAGAAACAACCCGCCACTGGTGATGTATCTGCTCCCGCTTCCGGCCAAGCTCCTCGGTGTCCGCCAGGCCCTGCGGCCGCCCGAGCCACGGGCCGCCCTGCGGCCGCCCTCGGTGTCCGCAGAGGGCCACGGACTCCGCCAGGCCCTGCGGCCGCCCGAGCGCACAGGGCGCGGCTGCAGCGTCCACGCCTTAGACGGCTGGCGGGGCGGCGGCCGTGCTCGGCTGCCATGCCGGGGCGAGCGCCAGACGCCGCTCCCGTGCCGCGGTCATCATCGTCCTCGTCCTCCCCCTCCTCCTCCTCCTCCTCCTCGCTCCTCCTCCTCCTCCTCCTCCTCCTCCTCCTCCTCCTCCTCCTCCTCCTCCTCCTCCTCCTCCTCCTCCCCCTTCTCCTCCTCCTCCTCCTCCTCGGCGGATTGCCGCAGGTGCCGCTGGCCCCAAGGTGCCCTCAGCTTTTCGTGCCGTTCTGGGGCCTATAGGGCTCTCCGGGCCTCGCTCGGGCAGCAGACTGCATGAGCACAGACTTCAGGAGCTCCGCGCGGATTTCTTAGATCTGCGCTGGGTACCCCCTCCCCGGGCGGCGCTGGAGGCGCCGCCCGTGGGGGGGCCAGCGCTGACCTAAGCTCCGAATGCTCAGGATTTCCCTGCGCGGTGATCCGCAGAACGTGTGTTAGCGCCAGCGTGTGCCTGCTCGCCGAAGCCCTTCCACACGACGCGAGCGGTGCCATGAGGGCCGACGCAGGCTGCGTGCCATCGGCGGAGCAGGACGAGGGGAGGCACGCTTTGGGCCAGCACACGTCCTGCAAATCATCGACCAGCTCATGTCATCTTGCCTCCTTCGAACCAGAGAGCCTGGAACACCCTCTGGCCATCGCTCGGACGTCCGTTCCCTGTGTTTTTGTTTCGGTTTCGTGCGTGGTTTTTTCGCCGAATGATCAAGGATGCTCCTCGATGGTCCTCGCCGAAGGAAAAATGCACACGTCCGAGCGATACCAAGCCCTGGGCCAGGCACACCTCGAGCGGCTCGCGCTCTGCGCTGGCTCGCTCGCTCCACTTCGCTTGGCTGGGCCCCCCAGGGCGC